CCAGGTTTCCAGCACTTACGAGCTGTCATGCACGCTGGGGTGGGCTTTGGTGATGCAGGTATCTTTGAGTCAATTCTGCCCCTGTAAGTAGCTCCTTACCCACATTCCTAAGTCACGACTTTGAAACTCTTTGATCTCTCATCCATTCCCTATTTGGGGTGAATTGGCATCTGTTCACACCTCCCCGGGAATAGTGTCACACAACTTAAGTGCAGGCTCATCTTTTGATACACAGCAACTCCTCCCTGCTTTGAAAAATAAAGTGCCATGCCTTTAATTCCAGTATTTGGGAGGTGGAGGCAGGCAGATCTATGTGAATTCCAGGCCAGACTGGTCTACAGAGCCAGTTCCAGGACAGGCAGGCCTAGATAGAGAGACCCTGTCTCAAACAACTAAAACAAAACAGAAGAATGTTAGCAAAGCTTTCTGTCTACTGCAGGTCAGTTCTGTCCCACCAGCCTCCCTCAAACAACCACAGAGACCCATTGCTAATTATAAATGCTCAGCCAATAGCTTAGGCTCATTACTAGCTAACTCTTACGTTTTAAATTAACCCGTATTTCTTATCTACACTCTGTCACATGGCTCAGTACTTTTTCTCAGTACAACATGCCCATCTTGCTTCTCTCTGCATCTCTCAGGATTCCGTGTCCCTTCCTCTGTTTCTCTGAGCTCTCTTTTTGTCCTGCCTAACCTCTATCTGTCCAGCTATTGGTCATCCAGCTTCTTCATTAAACCAGTCACAGTAATATATATTCACGCAGTGTAAAGGAATATTCCACAAACAACCAAAAGGAAGACAGAAAGGAAGGAAAGAATAAAAAAAAGAAAAGAAAATTAACCAGAATGTGAATTTCTGAGAACACCAGTAAGAGTTGTAGCTGGCAATGTCCTGAGAAAGCTGGGCACCTCTGAGGAAGGCCACAGGATGCCAGGTGTGATGGTACATGCTCATAATCCCGGCACCTGAGCCACTGAGCTAGGAGAGTCAACATGCCATATGAAATGGGTTTGAGGGATGGCAGGGAGGACCTCGCTGATGGCTGTTCATGTTTGTGACAAGTGCCCTTTGAACTTCTGTTGGATGGACTGCCAAAAGCCCTCTGTGTTTATGTTAACTTGACACAAGCTAGATTCATTTGGAAAATGAGACAATGCCTCTATCAGATCGACCTGTGGGCAAATCTATAATGTATTTTCTCATTGATGTGGGAGTGCCTCACCCACCGTGGGTGGTGTCATCTCTGGTAGTCCTGGTGTAATTAAGTCCTGGTGGGTGCTGTAATTAAGCCTACTGAGCAAGCTGTGGGAAAAGCCAGTAAGCGGCGTTCCTCCATGGTTTCTGCTTTGTTCCTGTCTCAAGGTTCCTGCCTTGCCTTCCAGACCTGACTTCCCGCAGTGAAGGACCTGGAAATGTGAGATGAAATAAACCCTTTAATGGGAGATGTCCTTCTGTATATATGTTTCTCTTTTTGGTTGATGAATAAAACACTGATTGTCCAGTAGAGGCAGGGAGATATGTGGGACAAGCCCAGGAGAATGCTGGGGAGAGAGGCAGAGAGAGGCTGCAAAGAGATACCATGCTGCTAAAGGAGCAACATGCCAGATTGTGGGTGAGCCACAGCCTCATAGCAACACATAGATTGATAGAAATGGGTTAATAATTAAGAAAGAGTTAGCCAGCATGAAGCCATCGGCCAACAGTTTTATAATTAATATAGCATCTGTCTGTTTATTTGGGGCTAATCGGCTGTGAGACCCGGATAGAAAGAAACTCCAGCAACAACCCTTTTCTCCCCAACTTGCTTCTAGTCATGGTATTTTAGCATGTCAATAGAAACTCTAAGTAAGACACCTCAATTCAGAGAAGTATCAATGCCCTGGGGCATCATTCTGGGACATCTGACAGGCTAGCAGCATCAAGGCATAGAGCATGGTGTGTGAGCAGGAATGGAGGCAGGTTCCAGATAATTAGACTGCTTGCCCTGCCCTAAACACAGCCGTCCACACGGAGACCCATGGATACTGGGTGGCGAGAGGCTAGCAAGGTTCCTGGTCACATGGGAAGGATCCGTCTACACGAGACTAAGCAAACGAAGAAATTAGTTGATTCAGTCAGGCGGGCAGCACTTGAAGCCACTCTTCAGAACCCTTGGGAGCTTTATCATGTAGACAGTGACAGTAAAAGAGGTAGCCAGGGAAGGGGGAGAGATGAGGGACAGGAAACATGACACGTGGAATATCCCGGGAACACAGGCCTGATGGCCGGAGCTCCAGCTTCATTTTGGATGGACTATGAAAACAAGGTTTGTCCTAAGATTTGTCAAGGAACTTTGGAACCATCTGATTCAAGAGACAGGGTCTTGTGATGTAGCCCAAGCTGGCTCTGAACTCTGGGAGTACAGGTGTGTACCATAATGCCTCATTCCTCCTTCCCGATGCATCTGGAGACCCCCAACCCAGGGCAACATCCCTGACCCCCTCAGGTCACCCCTCTGCTTCTGTGACGCCTGTCTCTGTGGCTCTGGGCTCCTGCCACCCCTTGCTATGTGGGGGGCTACTCTTTGACTTCAGAGCTCCCGGCTGCTGTACCACAACTATCGTGGTCCATCAGGTTCCTATCCTGTGAAACAAGGGGTGCTGTGCTCCAGTTGTGCCCAATTACAGCGGCTAGGGTGCTGCCCCACACAGTGATGGGATCTAATTTGTGTCTCTGAGGCAAAACTAGAAACTGCTTTTGGAACTTGACTTGAAGCACATCCAGCCAATGCCAGGAAAGACTCCCAGAGGGCCTTGTGGCTGTCCCCTCCACTCTGCTCAGCATGTAGCAAGGGGCTCAGGAGTTCCTTTGTAAGTAAATTCCATGAGCCTGAGAAGTGATGCCTTGCTGTAGGTGGCATAGTACCACCAGAGGGAGGCATGAGGGGACAGGCAGAGAACAAGAGACTGCCGGCTCCTCCAGGCAAGTCAATGAGACCCCATTAGAAAACCATTAACGCCAAACAACACTTAGAGCGAGTAACAGAGGCAACAGTGTATCTCTTCCTTAGCTCCCCTGTACTGTGGTTTGGATGGGAAATGTCCCCTCCAGGCTCCTGTTTGGAATGCTCAGGCCCCAGCTAGCTAAGGATTATTTTGAAGACTACAGAGACTTTAGAAGGTCAGGCCTGGCTGGTATTAAGTAGGTTACTAGGGGAAGGCCTTTGGAAATTTTACCTGACTCTCTCTCACACACACACACACACACACACACACACACACACACACACACACACACATCTTGTTCCTGCTTCCTGGCCTGAGGGCGGTTAGGGGCTGTGGGTGTATAGCTCAGTGGTAGAGCACCTGCCTAGAATCCCCCAGTGAGGGGCTGGGGGGTCTGACTCAGTGGTAGAGCCCCTGCCTAGATCATATTAGTGAGGATCTGAGGATGTGGCTAAACATTCAAATGGCTTAGATCCCAGAGGACTTTCTTTTTTAATGTGTGTAAGTGTTTTGTCTATATGTATGTATATATAGCATGTGTGTGCAGTGTCCATGGAGGCCATAAGAGGGCGTCAGATCTCCTGAATTTGGAGTTAATAGACAGTGTGAGCCACCATGAAGGTGCTAGGAACTGAACCGAGTAACCACAGAGCTACCTCTTGAACCCTCTGAAAGACTTGTTAGATCGTCTGACTTGAAGCTAACTAAGCAGGACAGAAGAGAGGAAAGGGGGGGGGAGGGGGAAGATGAGTAGACGGATGAAGAAGGGATATTGTAGAGGCCACTCTTCTGAGAGTGGCCGCAGGGACACCTGATCTTGAGTGAGCCTTACTGTCCATCATCTGTAGCCCAGGTTGGCCTTGGGTCTATCCTTCTTCCTCAGGCCTGCAGAGTAGCTGAGATTCCAAGCCTGGGCACCCGGCTCTCACCCTCTAGAGGCTGTCTGACAGGCTTGAGGCAAGGAACCATGGATCGCCCGGGATGTCCTGTGCTGTTAGGATTCCCAGGCTCATTTGCAGAAGGAAAGGAAAGTTCATAAAACTTGATCTGACCCAGAGCTCCCAGTGCAGAGACTTGGACTGCCGCCCACAGCTGCCTGGCTCTATCCACCACGAGACACAAGCTAGGAAAAGCCTGTCTGTCTCAGCTTCGAGGCCAAAGGAAACTCGCTGGGGTGGACAGCGGGAGAGCACAAGCAAGTTACAAGACTGAAGAATCAGGAGGAGCCGGGGGCCCCGTTCTGAGAACAAAATTGACCTTCTAGACATCTACAGACGATACCGGTCAGGATATAGAAGAGGACCTGCCGCGGATGGGGGTGGGGGATGGTGGGGACGAGGGCGAGGAGGGGGAAGCCAGGAAGTAGGAACAGAAAAATCTGTGGAAGTCAGGCTAGATCAGATCTCCAGGGAGAGGGCAGAGTCGCAGCCCCCACCCCCACCCCTTTTGGGTTTGAGAGGAAATACTGCTCAATTACTGACCTGCCTCTCTGTGGCCATGTGACCCATGCTGGTGTAACAGTTCCCACCAACCAGGTTCCTTATACTTTTTGACTCCCCTGTCCTTTTTAGTTAGGGCTGCAGCAAATGCTAAAAGTCCGCTGGCCTCTTGCCCAAGAACCCCACGAGGAGCCCTCTATCTGGCAGCCAGGCAAGGCAAGCCAGTTTACGGTGTGCGCTCGGGGTGGCGAGGAGCTGGGGCTTGCATTTGAGGAGCCGCTGTGGGGTGAGGAAGAGGCTGGAGGATGTCTGTGGGAACTAGAAAGTAATGACCCAGGTGTGTGTGTGTGTGTGTGTGTGTGTGTGTGTGTGTGTGTGCGCGCACGCGCACGGGGAGGGGGGCGGTGAGGAACCTGGGACCTGGGAATGAAGAAGGAACGAGGGAGAGACTGAGTTAGCAAGGGTTACCCCCCCAGTGGGAACAGAGTCACCTGGGTAGAGGTGGAGTTCTGTATCCAGCTAAAGCACTGGGCTCTTGAGACACTTGTGCTCTCTGGGCTTCTGTGGTTATGTGTCTGAAATTTGGGTAGAGCAGACCACAAAGCAAGGGGCTGGCTCAGTCTTCCTCCCTGGCTACCCTAGCTCCCCCCTTTTTAGTAGGACCCACAGCACCGGTGCAGAGGAGAACTGGATGAAAGAGACCCTGAAGTTGGCCCAAGGAGGTAAGGTGCTGGAGGTGGGGTGGGGTGGGCACCTGCAGCCAAGGAGAGCCAGCCCAGGGTTGGCAGGTCATGCCTTCTGGAAGTTTCTTTTTTTCATACCAAGGCACACCTCCTGCCCTTTCCCAGTTTCTATGCCAGTCTTCTTCTCCCACCAGGCTTCGCCACAAGGCTTTGGCTCCCAGCCACAGGCAGCTGTGAGAAAGGGACCTGACTATAGCCACTTCCTATTATCTGTGACGCTGAATAGGAAAAGGGCCGGGAAAGCAGAGGGGGAATTCCCGTGGGAAGTCGGAATTGGTCTCCCCCAGAGACACAGGATGGCAAACGTAATAACTGCGGCTTAATATCCCGCCCAAGGCTAAGTCAATAATTGCTCTGGGCAGTTCTGGCAGGTGGCTTTGGCAAGCGGTGGTGAGGCGCAGACAGCTTTGGCCTGGGAAGCAAAGAGGATGTGAGCCGTCTGAACCAGAGGAAGGAGGCTCTGCAGGCTGTGAGTGAAGGGGTGGGGATTCCTGACCCCTTTCCATCTTCCAGAATGACCCCCGACTGGCACAGCTCCTTGATCCTCACAGCCTACATCCTCATCTTCCTCACTGGGCTCCCTGCCAACTTGTTGGCCCTGCGGGCCTTCGTGAGCCGGGTCCGCCAGCCCCAGCCTGCCCCCGTGCACATCCTCCTGCTTAATCTGACCCTGGCCGACTTGCTGCTGTTGCTGCTGCTGCCCTTCCGGATCATAGAAGCGGCGTCTAACTTTCGCTGGTACCTGCCAAAGATCGTGTGCGCGCTCACGGGCTTCGGCTTCTACAGCAGCATCTATTGCAGCACGTGGCTGCTGGCGGGCATCAGCATGGAGCGGTACCTGGGAGTGGCCTTCCCCGTGCAGTACAAGTTATCCCGCCGGCCCCTGTATGGAGTGATTGCTGCCCTGGTGGCCTGGATCATGTCCTTCGGCCACTGCACCATCGTCATTATCGTTCAGTACCTGAACTCAACGCAGCCGGTGGGCACTGGGAACCAAATAACTTGCTACGAGAACTTCACCCAAGAACAGCTGGATGTAGTGCTCCCTGTGCGATTGGAGCTATGCCTGGTCCTCTTCTTCGTTCCCATGGCCGTCACCATCTTCTGCTACTGGCGCTTCGTGTGGATCATGCTCACGCAGCCCCACGTAGGGGTTCAGAGGAGACGCCGGGCAGTAGGCCTAGCTGTGGTGACGCTTCTTAATTTTCTGGTGTGCTTCGGACCTTACAATGTGTCCCACTTGGTGGGGTTCTACTTGCGGCAGAGCCCTCCGTGGCGGGTGGAGGCTGTGGTGTTCAGCTCCCTCAATGCCAGCCTGGACCCGCTGCTCTTTTATTTCTCTTCCTCTGTGGTGCGCAGGGCTTTTGGGAAAAGTTTGCTGCTGTTGCGCAACCCCGGCTCCTCGGTGCTGGGCAGAGGAGCCAAAGAGACAGTGGAGGGGGCCAGGATGGACAGGGGTGGGGGTCAAGCAGATGGGGTGCCCAGCTCTGATTTCGTCACTGAGTAGAGAGTTGGCCCTGATCTTCCCTAGCCTCTGGGTCACGCAGAAATTGGACTGATTAGCAGATCACTTGGAACTCAGTGAAAGATAAAAAATAGAAAATAAAGACATCCCCGACCCTGCCTGGCCACCCTCTCAGCTTGCATAATTGCGTGACTGAATTTTCCTGCTCCAGGATACAAGAAGAAACGGCTACAGCCCGAAAACACAGTGGGGCCAGGGTCTCAGAAGCCAGGTGGCTAAGAGGAGTTTAAAGGGAATTTTCCTTCAAGCTTGGAAACGCCGCCCAGAGACAGTGGTCTGGCTCACAATGCTACAAAGAAGCCTGTGAAAAAAGACTGGGGGAACACTGTGGGAAGAACAGAAGGCCCAGAAAGGCTCTGAGCCTCCCGCCACAGGAGGGACTGACTAGCAGGGCAGACCGGGCTCCGATTTCTGGTGAGCTTGGTCTCTCTCTAGCCGTTTGAGCTATCCCTTTGTAAGTGTGCTCTGTTGATTGTCACATTTCAGCCTTGTCTCCACCATTAAGCTGGGTTCTGGGTTGCACATCTGTCCTCAGTGTCACCCCACCCAGGCTAGGATGTGTCTTGGTACCCATCTGTCTGACATTGCACTGACCGGCATGAGAGGACCAAAACAAACAAACAAACAAACAAACAAAATGAAACAAAAACCAGTCTGGCTTGGCAGGTTGAAAATAAAGATTATGAAAGTCTGAAGCAAATGCTCATAGTTTTGGACACACATCTGTAGGACCCAGGGAAGGACCCAGCGACACAGCAGAGGGAGAAGGGATACAATGGAGGATGCGCCCCCCCCCCACTTTCAAATGATGCTATTGTGAGGGTGCTGGTGGGATCCTGTTTAGCCTCATGTGATGCTGGGGAGGTTGGACTTCCTGGAGGTGGGTGAATCCCACCAGGGGCTACTGATCCATCAGGGAGTTCAGAGTGTGCATTCTGTCCTCCTCAGAATACCATAGTTCTCTTTATCAAGCCTCTGTCCCTTGGAATTCAGATCTCCGCGGGCCTTTGCCTGCCCGGTATGCTCTGTCCCTTCCTGATTCCACCTGCCTAACTCATTTCTCTGCTAGGACCCCAGTGACCTTTGTCCCTGGTGTAATCAACACGCCACATGAGCAGAACTGCAGAGGTTGAGACAGTAAGATAGTTTAAGGCCAGCCCGAGCTACACAGTTAGACCCCCTTTCAAAAGGAAGAAACAAAAAATTAAAAACACTAGAAAAAAAATTTCGTGAGACAAGGTCTCCTACAGGTAGCTGAGGTTGCCTCTGCACTCCCTGTGTAGCTAAAGGGTCTTCACTCCTCATCCCCCTGTCCCCACAGCTCTCGCTTTACCACCTTGACTGTCCTAGAAATAATGTATTAAACCCATGGGCCAATGAAACTGGTTTAGTGGGTAAAAGCGCTTGCTGTGCAAGCCCAATGACCTGATCTTGAATCTCGGAACCCACAAAAAGTAGTATGTGGTATTGTGTACCTGTACCCCTGCACCCCTAAAGCAACGGAAGGTAGAGATAGGGGCCAGCTAGCCTGGGCTACAGAGCATGGCGGAAACGAGAGATCTCCCTGAGACTTCGAAGTGGTCCCCTGACCTCCATATATCTGCTCTATGGCACAAGAGCACACACATATGCATACGTACACACATGCACACACAATAAAGAAACTAAAATAATATTACTTCTATTTGAGACAGGGTCTCATTGCATAGCCTTGGCTAGTCATGAGCTCACTACGTAGACCAGGCTGGCCTCGAATTTACAGAAATACACTGATCTGTACCTCTTGAGGGCTTGGATTAAATCATGACTGACTGGCTAAAATAAAAAAATAATTTCAAAGCTAACCATAGGATGGTGCAGCACGAGACAAAACCTGGGTGGAGCCGTAGACCGCAGTAAGCCTGTGGGATACACTACAGCTCCCAAGCAAGCCCGTTTGGGAGCTGTCAGATGGCCTGGTGGGTAGAGGCTCTTGTTACCGCGGCTGATGACCTGCCCTCGACATGTTTACCACTGTGTGTGTGTGTGTGTGTGTGTGTGTGTGTGTGTGTGTGTGTATACAGCCAAGTGCACATGTCAACAGGCAGTGTAAAGGAAGCAGTATGAAGTAGTTGTAACGCTCCTTTGGCAGAGATGGCATTAAGAGAAAGAACTGAACTGAGTTGATAAGAGTGACACCCCACTTAGGGCTGATGGGCAGCCTGCTCAGAACTGAGCCACACAGCCGTACGCACCCTAACTCAGGGGTTCAAGTCCTGCCAAATCAGATGGAGGGCTTCAGACTAACTAAAATCACACAACAGGCTTCGGGACACAGTTCAGGGGGTAAATGACAGCATCGTCGAAAGCCCCAGATTGAATCCCCAGAACCCACCTTGAAGAGCCAGCTGTGTGGCACGCTCCTGTGGTGACATGCTCGGCAGAGACAGGAGAACCGGAGAACCGCCTGGAAGCAGCTAGTCTATGGATACCACAGGAGAGAGCTCACCTGGACCAGGTAGAAGGGGAAGATAACCCTGAAAGCTGCCCTTTGACCCTTTGACTGCCACAGGCACTGTGGCACAATCTACCCCTCCTCCTAAGGTCTCCTTGCAGAGCGTCAGGGAGGGGCTCACCTACAGGGGTGTGGGTGCTGCTCTCCCCAAGTGGCTGCCCCTGAAAAGCCTTTAGCCAGTTAGTTACATGGATGGAGACTCCCTCTCCTCACCCCCCCCCCAGTCTAGCCCCTCTCCCTAAGGCCCCATGCAGTTAGGGCACAGTTGTACACAACAGGTGAGGTCAATGGCCTCCCCAACCTATGAACAGTCAAGCTGGGAAGATCCTTTTGCAAGGGAGTGCAGCCAAACCCCTCAAGGTGGGGGTCGCTAGCCTCAAGTTTGTCCCTCGCAACACCCCTATCTCCACACACATTGTAAATGTGTAAAGTCTAATGGACACATGACAAAAGAATAAAAGCAAATAACAGAGGAAGCTCATGATGCTAATGAATGGCATTAACTGCTAGGCACTGTGATAGAGAAAAAGCTGGAGAGGGTTAGGTAACCTCCCAAGATCAATAGGTCAAGAGTTCAAATCCCAGGCCTCACTCCACAACGTCTGCTCTTTTCACAGAAGGAAGTGGAGTGCTCTAGCTGTTTGGCCACATAGCTGGGACACAATAAGACCTGTTTTATAGAAGATGCCAGTCAATGTGGCCCCACAAGGGAAGAGCAAAGAGCGTGACAAGAAGTCATGTTTCCAACAGCTGGGGATGTTCAAACATACTAACTGCCCCGGCAAGACAGTCACTCCCAATTTCCATGAATGTTGGAGGAAGAGACAGCACACACACACACACACACACACACACACACACACACACACACACACACGGACAATGAGTAAGCAGGCTTCTGATAAGCACTGAATCGGACTACTGCCGGACCTCTACCCCTGCCTGCCATATCTTGCTAACTGTGAGCTACTTTTCTGTTGCTATGACAAAACACCTGACAATTTAAGAGAGGCTGGAGAGATGGCTCAGTGGTTAAGAGCACTGGCTGCTCTTCCAAAGGACCCAGGTTCAATTCCCAGCACCCGCGTGGCAGCTCACAAGTGTCTATAACTCCAGTTCCAGGGGATCTGATGCTCTCACACAGACAAGAATGCAGGCAAAACATCAATGCATTATAAACATAAAAAATAAAAAAGCAACTTAGGAAAGGAAGCCTTGGAAGGTGGCTCAATGGTTAGAGTGCTTGCTGTGCAAGCCTGAGGACCTGGATTTAGATCCCTAGAACCTGCATAAGAGCTGGGTGTGGTAGCACACATCTGTCACTCCAGCACCAGAAAGGGGTTCCTGTGGGCTACCAGCCAGCCTGGCTAAAATAGCAAACTTTAGGCTTAGTGAAAGACCATGTCTCAAAAACTAAATTGAGGAGATGGAGGCATGCCTCGGTGGTTAAGAACAAGGACTGCTCTTCCCAGCGCCAACATGATGGCTCCCAATGGGCTGTACACCCAGCTCCCAGGGGTCTGTGGACATTGCATGCACGTGGTAAACAGATATACATGCACCCACACATCTAAAATAAAAATGAGAATCATTGAGGAGGACGCTCAATACTGACCTCTAGCCTACATGCACACTCACATACATGACTGTGTTCCCCCACACAAAGGACACACACAAGCACATGCCAGACAAGGGGGAAAAATAGAAAGAATGCATTTACTATACCGAATAGCTTAGAGGCACAATATTGAACCTTGGCTGTTCCCTGCATGTTCCCTGCATTACTCATGGGGATGTCTAGGAGATGTGGACGGCTATCATAAGGAGAGAAAGAAAAAAAAAAAAAAAAGTCTCACAGCATACATAACCCAAAAAGAGTCAAAGTTCACAATCAGAGTCAAGTTTCCAATAACTGCATTGCTTTTACACCAGTTTTGTAAAGACTAAAAAAAAAAATATAGCATTGATTTGAGTCAGATGAGGGATCTTCATAGAAGCCAGACACTTTGATGAGGGATGGAGATCCTGGGGACACAAGAAATGAGGCACCTATGCTATCAGAAGGCATCTGGAGTCAGGTAGGGAAGTAGTTAAAAACCCGTTCCAAGCCCCGAGAAATGATGACTCAGTGTCTAAGAGCACAAACTGCTCTTGCAGAAGACCAAGTTCAGTCCCCAGGACCCACGTCTGGCAGGCATAGTCGCCTGCAACTCTAGCTCCAGGGGTTATGATGCTCCTTCTGGCCTCCTTGGGTACACACACACACACACACACACACACACACACACACACACAAACACACACACACTTAATTAAAAGTAAAATAAAATCTTAAGCAAAAAAAAAAAAAAAAAAAAAAAAAAAAAAACCAAGAGCCGGAAAGAGTTAAAGAGTATTGTGGGAGGGGAGGGGAAATTGGAAAAAAGAAAAGGCTCCCGGTTTGCAGCCCTTGTGTCACTTTCTGTGACTAAACATTTCACCCCTGGGGCCAGTTCCTGCCAAAACCGGGATGCCGAGCATCATTTTGTCAAGAGATGCTGAGGATCAAGTCATGCGCACAAACCCATCAATCACACCCCGGGAGGGGAAACTTCCTCATTCCCTAGCAACAGGCAGTACAAGGTCTAGCAGAGGGCTTCCCACATAATAAGCGCTAGCTCAGTGGTACTGGCTGCTCCTCCTCCAAAAATATCCAGGCGGCTGCAGAGTTCTGGGGCCGTCTGTATCCCCCGCTGGACGACAGATGGGTAAACAGAAATATTAGTGCCTGGTTAATGAATAACACAGACAGCAGCCTAGAGTGTTACTGGGAAACAGGTGGAGGGAGCTGGAGCCTGAACTGTCAGAGAGGGGTGAGTACCACTGAGCCCCCTTCTTCCCCTTTGGGCTCAGATGCCACCACATCCCAGATTCTAGCACCTTTTCTGACCACAGTAGGGCTCATTTTTAGTGTGGGCATTTGGGGTTCATTTTTTGTGGTTGGAGAGGGTTGAGGGGGCCACTGACAGTCTAGAAGAAAGTACACACCCCAGCCTCTCATCACCACTGGCTCTGGCCTCCCTGCCTCTGAGTCCTGGGTCTCTGAGCATCTTCCCTCCCTCCTGGCCTTGCTTTTTACCTCCTGGGCTTAAAGACTTTTGCCCTGTTTCCTTTTCCTATAGTTACAGGAAGTGAAGCTATTTCACATCT